GAGTTTTGTGCTCTGTCTCTATCTCCCCTGACTGTTTATTGAGGGGAAAACTACCAGTATCCACTTCTCTTCTTGTTCTGTTGATCTGAGCAGAGCTCTTCTGATGGTGGCAGCACCAGCTTTGATGTCTTGTAATGGAGCTGCATTCATTTTTTGTGGTTGTAACTTTGGTGTTTTGGTACTTTCCAAACCGTTGGCAGGACTAGATGATGCCTGACCATGACTGCCATGTGTGGAACAACCAACCTCAAACTTGGAGGTGGAAGGGTTAGGAGGTCTTGCTTCAGAAGGTCTGGGGCTCAGCATCTCACCATGGTGAGTGTGTGGTGGGTGATCTTCTGAATCCTCACTAGTGGTTTCAGTCAAATCCTGAGTTGGACTCAGGCTTCCTCTGTGGGAGCAACAGCAGAAATATTGACTCACATATGAATTCCTCAGCGGTAAAACTGAAAATGCTTCTAGATCTACATTGAGCATGATTCAGCTGTTAAAAGTGTCTCAGGGTTTTTGCTTTAATCTGCATCCCTGGTTAACACACACAGAGCACTAGTGAAGTAAATGTACTAATACTATTGGGAAACATTTTTGTGTGTTGAATGAAAACAGCTACACTCCAAGGAAAGAAGTGGCAAAACATTTGCTTTGATTTGCAAAGATGTTTGGAAATTCTCAGGTCAAGAGTTTTTACCTGACTGCTGATCTGATCCTATTCTATTTTCACATCCTGAAAATTCAAGTCATGTACTCCTTGAAAAACACTAAATTATGTCAATTATGTGAGATAAAGCTGTTTCAGTTAAGTTGAAAATAAATGTTATGTTTACGGTTCTTTATCTGAACATATATTGTCGTATTGCATACTTTCTGCAATGCAAGTGTCCCTGGTGTTAATGAAGACTCAACTCTACTAAACCAATATTTTGGCTAAGGTCATGGAAAGATTTGATTGTGTTATTACTTTGTTAAATGCATTTTTTTATACATATAATGTGATATTAGTTTGTATGAAAATACATGCACATTTCATTGAGAACAGATTCCTGTGCACCTGCCCAACTAAACTCTGTTCTGTACCTGCAGGGGGACATTGAGGGCCCATGCTCCTCCACAGTCACCAGGCTGCTCAGGCTGCCTGTCAAGCTGCTGCCACGGCTGGCTAAGGCACCCTGCTCCTCCATCAGCCAACGCATGGCCTCTATACCCTCGTGCACGGCCACCAGCTGTCGCAGAATCCTCACATCTGCAGAACGCAGCCACTTCTGCATGAATAGTGGAGTGTCAGGCTAAGCGTGATACAGGTGTAAATAAGGGAAGGTACACAAACACACACACACCACACACACACACACACACACACACACACACACACTAGTGAGCCCCGCCCCATTTACATAAAGCAGAAGAAAATAGCAATAAAACACAAAGAACTGAAGAGGCAGAGAATGTGTCAAACGAATGGAGGTGTATGAGAGAGAAGCCAGGTGAGGGGTGTGGTGGAAAGATGGGTGACAGTGTCTGTCATTAGGCATTAAAATGAGCAGGTGAAGTGGCTCAGAGTGACATTTTTAAAGTCCAGAGAAAAACATGTCATCAGACCAAGAGAGCAGAGCAGTGATCGCTTAAAACAAGTTGTGCAAGTTGTGGAACTCCTCAAATATGAAAAGATGGACAGACAAGCAGGCGCACACACATGCACACACACACACACACACACACAGTGTCAAGACAGAAGGGAACTGTTTTGTCCATTTAGAGACATGCATAGGCACACAGTATTCATTGCTGAGAAAACAGGGATCTTTACCATCTCTTGTTTTAAGTTGCTAATTTTGTCAGAAAAGCTTTCGCTGGAGGCAGAGCCGCGGTCTCCCCTGTCGACCGCATCAGACCTCCAACCATCTTCACAGTCTGCAGCATCCCTCATCCAAATCAGAAGACTTTCCGGAGTTTTCCTGCCAACCTTATTTTCCAGTTCTTTCAGATCTGGGAAGGAATCGTTGAGGATTTCCTCTGCCATACCACCGCGCAGTAATCACACAGCTCCCAAGTAATCCGATCGGTGGCTTTGGATGAGCCAAGTACGCAAAGTCACTTCGGCTTTCCAACTTCCACTGTGAGAAGTTAGACAACACAGATACTACTCTCCTACGCTTGTCGATCAACAACAAAGTCCACGCGTTATATTCCTGAACGCTCCACAATAAACCATGATCACGGCTGACAAACCCGCCACAGAAGCGCAGAACAAGCCATGAAAACGCTGGAAGTGTGAACGCGCAAATCACCTGCCCTGCTGACAGAGGTGCTGCTTGTATGAAGCCCAGAACATGATGCTGGAAAGTGGAAATACTCTTTGTGTAGTCCTTAAACAAACAATAGTGGGAGCTTCATACCAGCGGTCACATGAAGAGGCTTCAGTAACACCTGTGCGAGCAACTGGTGACAGCGCAGAACAAGTTGACTTTGATTAGAGTCAACTTAAAACATTGTTTTCCTGCTCTTACAAATAAAAACCTTGACCACATGAAAAACAAATAGGACTTTATTAGTTAGCCACTAATATGAAATCTTTATTAGATAAATAGTCCATAGCCAACTTATATTAGACTTATAGACTTATATTTTATCATGTAGGCTAACCTTTTAAATGTATTAATCAGAATGTAACCTAAGTAAACAATAGACACATAAATGAAATAGGCCAAGGGGTATGTGCCTAATTTACAGGTAGCTTAATGTCTAGGCCTAAATCTCTCCCTGATGAGGCATTGACGCCTATTTAGTCAAATAGCCTACAGCCTAATGTTATATTATCATCATTATTAAAATTGCTATCATTATAAGTACTATTATTCATATTCTGTCTGCACCACTACCACTTTTACTGTTTTTGTATTTCTGTGTGGCTATTGTGTTGGCTGCTTCTCCCCTGCTTGTGGTGGACATAAAGCTACTTTACCTTTTGTAAAAATGACACGCCCTCTGTACACAGTTAGCCCCCAAATATGCTGTTTGCAATTGCACTAACCCAATTTTGACGCAAAAATTATTACATTTATAAAATTAGCATTCATGCGACATTACTAAAAGTATTTTAAATGACGTGTATTTGACCAGGGCTGGTTAAAAACATACACTGTGTGAAATTAGATATTGTAAGGCTTACATAATAATTTATAGATCTAAATTAAGTATGTGCTTAGACATTGCACCACATTTGTCCAAATTTCTCATTCATTTACAATTCATTTTTATGTTTGTTTGTTCACTCACTTGGTTGGATGTTTGGGTGTTTTCATGGTGATGTAGCCTACTGAATGAAATGTAGTTAAGATTTGTTTTAAAATGTATAAAAGCTGATAGTACTTAATCAAATTAGTTTAGTTCCTGACAAAAGAAAAGTGATATTTACTGGCTATATTTGGATTTAGCCTACAGTAGGTGTAGGTGCAAGTCAGGTGTAGCCTATGGTATATTCATTGTACAAAATATTAATATGTAAATTAATTGTAATGCCATGTACAAATGTGTTTTCAAACATTTTGTCTCATAAAAATATGTTTTATTTTGCAGCGTGGAAGTGCTTCAATTTTTCCAAAAAGACTCTATAGAAGAAACAGGTCTGTATAGTTGCACAACATACTTTTAGACACAGCAACGGGCCATACAAGCATAGAGGAAGCATCTGCCACCCACTCAAATAGATGATTTATTTTATTCATCTGTCATCTTGCCCCACTTTAATGTCTTTCAAAAGCAGGGCAACAGTTATGGGAGCTTTCTCATGATTGAGGTTAAGGCCAGTATAACTAGGGATTAAGAGTCTTGCTCAGGGACACATTTGTAGAGGGGTCATAGTGGGAAATTGAACCATCCATTGTGCCATCACCAGCCCCCTATTAATGGCATAGTTTAAGGAGCATGTGATGCACACTGATGAAGCAGCAGCTTGAGAAAAGGTAAAGTGACTTACAGAATGCAAGACTGCAAATAAGTTTATGATGCTTCAACAGCTTTCAGAAAATGTTATTTTTATGTGAAAAATCAGACAGAGGGAGGCAACTGTGTCTCTGGGAGAACACATTCAGAAGGGTTTTACCACTGGCCGCTGTTAGAGGGAGACAAACACTGCAGCATTCAACACAGATGTATGATGATCAGTACAAGCTGTTAACTGCCAAGTAGCTCTGACTGAGAACCAGTAAGCTCCAACATTCCCAACTTTTTATAGAGCACTTAATTAACAATGGATATGCAATTGGGCCTGGGAGATTGGCTGTAGGTTAAAAGATCTGGGTGGAAAACTACTGTTGGTATGATGTTCAGAAAAACACCAAACGTCTTTATTTCAAGTTTGTATTATTTATATTTATATTTACATGCAGAATATTACAACGTGACAGCAGAACGAGCACCACAACCAACACCCATATGCTACATGAAAAATGAACAACACGCAACAACAAAAAAGTACAAATGGACACACAAGTGGGTAGAATCACGTTTTAAAGAACGAATCATGATCTCATATGTGTGATTTAAAAGATGAAATTTTACTAGCATATAGCCTTACCTCCCTCAGTGGGTTGCTCCACAATTTAGAGGCTCATAAAGTTCAGTCACCTTGAATCTTAAATCTCAACAGTGCAACAGAATCCCCTGGTTGACTTACTGGAGCTGCTCTGTGGCTGCCAATAAAAGTAGTTTGTGAGCAGTTCCCAGGTGAAGAGTGATTGAATACGAGCTAGCATTGTTTGATATACATATGTGCTTAAATATGCAATATCATATTAGTTAGTATTAGAAAATTTTAGTTACTGCTATGGATTGTTGCCCACATGCAAATTGCATCTCTGAACAAAATGAAAGTTGGGAAGAGAGTAGCTGTAATTTACTTTTTAACACATAACATGAATGTGCCAGCAACATACCAGACCTTTAGAGGAGTAATTAAAACATAATGTTCGACAAAACAATCTGCCCACATTTAATTTGATTGTATCACAAAATCACTTTGCCCATTGGTCACTTTTACTGTGCACTTTAAGTACTTTGCACATGTGTTGCCTTTAACAATGTGTAACACTTTTTTCACACAAAAATGTAAGGGGTCAACCAGCTCCAGACCTTGGAGCTGGTTGACCTGTGCTGGGCTTGTCTTGTTTCCAACGACCGTTTGTCTCTAATTAATGGACTGGAGCCCATTCTCCAGCGCTGAGTAGAACACAAACCACATGCATTAAACATGACCATGCCTCCCTCTGCTGCCAAAGCTGGGGAGACAGAAATATGGAGAGAGAGGGAGGCTGAGACAAGACAGACAGAGGTCAACAACAGAGAACAACATGCACCTGTAACACTAGAGTTAAAAACAAACAATACATATAGCTTTAAACAATTTTGATAAAGAGCTTGACCACATTTGTAAAGCATCACTCCAGCATGATTAATAATAAATATCCCCAGTTTGTCATGTTTTGAACTCCCAGTCAGCTAGAAGCTGAAACAGTTTATAAAAGCAGAAATATATATCATCTGCTAAAACTTGGAACACCCAAGATGAGAAACAAAGCCAAGTACTGTTGGAGAGATTAAATACGTTACATAAGATAATAATAAATGTTCGTATACATAAATAGAGCTGAACCAGTTAGTCACTGTATTGTTACAGCTGCCAATAATGTTCATGATTTAAAAGCTTTAGATTCCCTGTACTTCTAATAGACACAATAAGAGATATTAATATTATCTCCACATTAGTGGTCTGTTGCAGGACACAGCATGTAAGTCTTTGTGAGAGAGGGGACATCTGCTCAGCCTGCCACGCTCTCTGGCTTTTGGTCATAACATATCTCTTCTTTTGATGCAATCTGGTAATTGATGTGCTTTGGAGAATCAGCTAACTAGATTCAAATAGCGTGTTTCCTGTGAAAAGGCCTGTAGATGGCAGCAGACATCCAACTTCACTAAGCTTTCAGGTGTTGGATGACATTCTTGGAGGTTTAACAATTGAGCCCCATTTTTGCACCTTGGGGAACACATTCATTAGGTATGTTTTCTTAAGAGTGCAGATCAAGTTTCACAGATGAGGCTGTCAAACCCACAGCAACCCTGAAAACCGAGCCTAAGTCAACACTCTGAGGTCATCTCATCTACTTAGGAATCATAAAGAATATGTTTTCTGTAATTTTATAGGAGAGTCTCAGCCACTAATTGTCCAGATTTCTTGACAAATGTACCCTCCTGCTGCGAACACGTTCCATGATTTCACCAGAGAGAAGCGTAATACTGAAAGCAAATTTGTCATACTTGAGACAACATTCTTTTAATTTCTTGGAGTGAAAAAGTGAGTGGGAAGTTGGAATGACAAGTGAATACAAAATCAGGTTACTGCAACCCCAAAGGGGGGCTATAAAATAATACCCACGTATAAGCAAGTGTTCTCAGGGCAAGTCAGACTGACCCAGAGGTCAGCATTACATGAGGTAGTGGTGATCATAAAAAAGTTACACATAGCAAGAATTATGTTTTTTTACGAGTCAGCGCCCCTGACTTCCAGTTTTGGGGAAATCATAAACTTATACAAACATTAAAAAATGGTCAAAATGTGGATGTCATTGAAAGGCCAGCATTATGAGCAGATAAGATTTTACAGCATCTGTCAGTGTGATTTACTATGAATCATTAAGAGTATGCGGGATTTATTAGGGGAGTTGCCCTAAGGTTCTTGCCAAACCACCTGAAACGTGAAAAGCTGAGAAATGAACACGGAACCACATTCACTGACTGAATTGATCTTGAAGTCTGTTACACATGGAGAACATGTTAATGGGAAAAGAGGAGCAGATATAACCCACAAGTGTGGTGAGTGTGTGTGTGAGTCGAGTATCAGGAAACAGCATAATAACTGAAGCCACTGGACCAGGAAATCCTCCAGGTTCACATGGTCTGTGGAAGGCCCAAACAAAGCCATTCAGGGAGGCTGGGGAACCCTTGACCTTTACAGCACAATTAGGTCAGAAAACACTCAATGGTTTTGTTCAGATTTCCCAAGAAAAATATGCTATCAAATCAAGAAATCTTCACATGTAAAATGTACAGCGCACAAGAAATTTTATGATGTTAAAGGAAAGGTTTGACATTTTGGGACATACATTTATTCACTTTCTTGCCAAGAGCTAGATTTGAAGATTTATACCGCTATCATGTCTGTATTGTAAATATGAAATAAAAATATGGTTATCACCAGCTGACAGCTAACGTAGCTTAGGGCAGAAAGACGGGAAACGGGGAAGCAGCTAGCCTGGCTCCATCCAGCGGTTACAAACTGCATCTGCCAGCACCGTTCAGACTCACAATTTTCCACACTTGTGGACAATATGGTTGTATTCTT